TGCGCTGGAGATGTGTGGGGAACCAGGGTTCGAGGGATGCGGCGTTGGCGGCTTGACGCTTGCGGTAGAGGTTGGTGAAGACAGTGAATGATCCGGCGAGGATACCGATGTAAGCGATGGGCACGGTAAGCATTACCCAGTCGACCATGTCGAAGGGCCACATGGTGAATGTTGTGTGGGTTGTGTGTGGTTTGTTTGCGCGGACTGTGAAGAGGTATGACAAGCTCGCGATGCGATGCAGGCGCTGACGTTAGGATATGAAGGAGCGACGGTGTTCTCAGTAGTGAGATATGGGGTAGGTGAAGACCAAGAGGGAGGGCGAGTCGCTGTTGTCTCACTTATCGATACATCCGAATATCTGTCCAGTTCCGCGCCCGACTAGCGTCCTTCTAGCGCGTCTGCGTCATCCATGTCCGCTCCGCTACAGGCGCCTTCTCGAATCAATCACCGACACCAACCAAGGTTCACCACTGCACCTCGCCTTTGTCTACTCATTTCTTCTGGTCGCGCTTTCTTCCCAGATCTCTTACCTCTCCCCTACCACCTGCATCACCTTTATCCACTCACCACGAAATTCATAGCGTTACGATCATGATATTGAGGGTATGTCTTTATGCCCAATGCAGGTGATATCTTACTAATTCGCACCAGTTCGTTAGCAAAGACGGCCAGTTCCGGTTGACGGTACAGCCCGAGGACACCTTTTCGTCGATTCTGCCCCAGGTCGCCGAGAAGCTGCCCAAGAATGTCGACATCCAGAGCATCAGTGTTAGCAACAAGCCGCAGGGAGGCGACGCGAGGAAGCTTGCTGGCCTTGAGGGCGTAAGTTTCAAGCAAGTGGGACTATCGTATGTAACTTACCCGAGCTCGTCTTCACGGCTAAGGATATCGTAGAAACGGCGCGCAACTCTTCCTGTCCTTTGAGGAGCAGTCTGCGGTACCGAACGGCCATGCTGCGCCTTCGACCGGCGGCGCACGACTGAATGGCAAACCCGTCGAAGAGACCAGCATGGGCTCCGTCCCCATCGGCGATGCCCTGCAAACCATAAAGAATCCATGGGAGGTTGTCAGGCAGTCCCCGCTCGACGACAGGCTAGATAGACAGGATGGCAAAATCCCCAGGAAACGCGACGCCCGCATGTGTTCCCACGGGCCCAAGGGCATGTGCGACTACTGTATGCCCCTCGAACCCTACTCGCCCGCATACCTCGCCGAGAAGAAGATCAAGCACCTCTCCTTCCATTCATACCTCCGCAAAGTCAACTCGGCGAAGAACAGGCCAGAGCTCGGTAGCTCGTACATGCCACCGCTGACCGAACCCTACTACCGCGTACGCCCCGACTGTCCATCGGGACACAAGCCGTTCCCAGAGGGTATCTGCACCAAGTGCATGCCTAGCGCCATCTCGCTGAAGCCACAAGAGTACCGCATGGTAGATCACGTCGAGTTCGCCTCGATACAGGTGGTAGACGATGTGATCAACTTCTGGAGACAGACGGGCTGTCAGCGACTGGGCTTCTTGTACGGGAGGTACGAGGAGTATACTGAGGTGCCGCTGGGAACAAAGGCTGTTGTCGAGACCATCTACGAGCCACCGCAAGTCAACGAGGCGGACGGCATCTCACTAGGCGAATGGGACAATGAGAAGGAGATTGACGAGATTGCCGCACAGTGTGGGCTGCAACGCGTCGGAGTGATCTTTACTGATCTCCTCGACGCGGACAAGGGCGACGGCTCTGTCATCTGCAAGCGACACATGGACTCGTACTACCTTTCGTCCCTAGAAATCTGCTTCGCAGCACGATACCAAGCAAGGTACCCCCGGCCTTCCAAATGGAGCGACACCGGCCGACACGGATCCAATTTCGTAACATGCGTAATCAGCGGCGATGACCAAGGTCAGATTGGCATCTCATCATACCAGGTTTCGAACGATGCCGTTGAGATGGTTCGCGCCGACATCATCGAGCCCTCAGCCGAGCCATCAGTGATGCTCGTTCAATCGGAAGAAGACAACGAAGCCTTGAACCGCGCGCGGTACATCCCCGAAGTTTTTTACAGAAGAATCAACGAACACGGTGCGAACGTACAAGAGATTGCCAAACCCGACTTCCCCGTGGAATATCTACTTCTCACTTTGACACACGGATTCCCTACTCAGCCAAATCCTCTCTTCACTGGTGGCAAGTTTCCGATCGAGAACCGCGAGGCTATGGGCGAGATGCCAGAGATCTCACATCTTGGCAAAGCTCTCAACGCCAGAGCGAACGGGCTGGCGCTCAACACGGCCAGCGGCCTCAATGCTATTTCGAATTTCCACATGCTATGCTTTATCCATAACCTCGGCATTCTGTCAAAGGTGCGTCACTGCAAAGCTGCATGGATACGTTACTAACTGTACGACTAGGACGAAGAGTCACTGCTCTTTAAGGTAGCATCAACGCACGACACTTCAGAAGGCTCAGCGCTCCAACATACCGGAGGCTGGGCAACCCTTCTGACTATCCTCAAAGAAAGTGGTGAGCGCCCCCCGAAACGTTCTTATCAATCTTCGCCCCAATCCCAGTCGGCCAGTAGGGGGGCTGCAGCTCTAGACCACACCCGCGGTACGATGCGACAGTCCTCCTATGGCTCAGATTCCGATTCAGTACAGTTGGCTAAGAGGGTAAAGGGGGTTAAGCTTGGGAAGTAGATTAGTCTAGGCTAGTCACACTCCTGGGGCGCGACCTCTGACACCATAGGTCTGTAATCCGAGCGACAATGGAAACGCGCATCAAGTCTGTCTGTGGTGGGCATACTGGTGGAGTTGAGGAGCTTGGTATGAGCGGAAGTGCATGCATTGTCTGGCGTCGTCACAGATTTCTAGCATCTGGTGATCGCTCGGGAAGCAATCAGGATGTGCAATATATCCGTTGAACTGTGCTTTTGACATCTTCTGCCGTGAGACATGTCCGAAGTCATCACTTGCTCTACGTGAATCGCTCAACTTATCTAATTTGTTGATATAAACGTTTAGTGTGTTGTGGAATCGTCTATACGGTCTTTGAATAATTTGAGTATAATTGAGCAATGGCGGACTGTTTTGTATGCAGCGATGATGATGTGATTACAGAAAGAAGACGTGGTCTGTGCAGAAACGTGAGTTCGCGGTCTCGTGTCGACGCGTCGCACTTTAGCAGTCGAGCTCAGCACCCCAACCTCAACACCTCGATCTCCACACAACCACCACAATGGCCGATTTCTTCAACGTAAAAGCGAGGCAACAAGCCGCTGCAAAGGCCAGCTCATCAAAAGCGCCTACGACGAAGCAAGAGCCCAATCGCATGCAGCCATGGGTTGAGAAATAGTACGAACGCAACACCTAAACACACCATTCCGCACCCTCACTAACAGCATCACAGCCGCCCCAAAACCCTCTCCGAAGTAACAGCCCAAGACAACACAATCCAAATCCTGTCCCGCACCATGCAATCTTCCAACCTCCCTCACATGCTCTTCTACGGCCCCCCAGGCACAGGAAAAACCTCCACGATCCTCGCCCTTGCCAAAGAACTCTACGGCCCTGAACTGATGAAGTCGCGCGTCCTCGAACTGAACGCCTCAGACGAACGCGGCATCAGCATCGTGCGGCAAAAAGTCAAGGACTTTGCGCGCCAGCAACTCAGCGTAGCGCCCAACTACAACGTCATGACGGAAGACGCGAGCAGCGGCGAGACAAAGACAGTCCGGTACAGAGATAAATACCCGTGTCCGCCGTTCAAAATCATTGTGCTGGATGAGGCAGATAGTATGACGCAGGATGCGCAGAGTGCGCTGCGTAGGACTATGGAAACGTACAGTCGCATGACGAGGTTCTGTCTCGTGTGTAATTACGTCACAAGGATTATCGATCCGCTCGCGTCGAGGTGTTCGAAGTTCAGGTTCAAGAGTCTGGATCAGGGAAATGCGGTTAAGCGTGTGGGCGATATCGCGAGGCTGGAGAATGTGCAGTTGGAAGAAGGGGTCGCGGAGGAGTTGGTCAGAGTCGCAGATGGCGATTTGCGGAAAGCAATCACCTTCTTGCAGTCTGCGGCTAGGCTTGTGGGCGCTGTTGTTCAGGCTCAGGGTGCGGGGGGCAAAAAGAAGAAGAAGGTTGTTGTTGAGGACGACGAGATGGACATCGATTCTGCGGCGGCGCCAGCTCAGACACCTGCTGTTTCCCTCCCCATCATCGCCGAGATCGCGGGTGTGCTACCGCCAGCTACACTATCTTCCTTCAGCGATTCGCTCTTCCCCAAGTCTTCGGCTACCAAGTCGATACGCTACAACGAGATTGCCAAGGTGGTCGAGAATATGATTGCAGAGGGGTGGAGCGCGTCGCAGACTGTGGGTCAGTTGTACGAACAGATCATGTATGATGAGAGGGTTGAGGATGTCAAGAAGGTTAGGCTGGCGGGTGTGTTTAGTGAGACGGATAAGAGGCTTGTGGATGGTGGGGATGAACATCTTGCTGTGTTGGATTTGGGGGTCCGAGTCGCGGGGGTGCTTTGTCTCTGAGGGAGTAACAGCGCTGTCATGGGGTTTGTGTCTCTGTACAGCATACTGCGTGCGGGACATGGAGAGACGTATTTGATGGAACAGTAGCACTCATGGTAACGTCTTCATTTACATGATCAAACAGAAAGCTACATTACATTCGTATCGTATCGTATCGTGTGGGGATATCTCAAAAAGGATATACAAAGAATAAACATGCGAAAGCACACGTTGTACTCCCGCTCAAAGCTCGTCGTATAGCGCTCAGCGCATGGAAGCCATCATCTCGTCATGCAGTCGGGCCCAGTTCACCCAACAGCCAAAGATACTCCGCTTTTTCCCTACACATACACCACTCCGAAAAATACCCGTTAAAAGATGAAGAAAGAATGCGCACCGACCACAGCGCAGTCTCATCAAACGTCCAGTAGCGTACATCGTTATCAGACTATGCAAAGATGCAGAATCCGGCTCCAACACTGAACATGGCGATTGCGGCCAGTGTCTCCGTCCTGACCGCGAATCTGTTGCCAGTAGACGGTGAGTTCGATGGCGTAGCTGAAGCGCTGGCTGGAGTTGCAGAAGACGCTGTGGGTGAGGCGCTTTCTGAGGATAGTTCAGATGACGATGGCGACACTAGATCGGTGATTGTTGACGCCGACTGCGATGTCTTAGTAAGTGTGGTCTGTGATGTTGACATCGACGTGGGGGTGAGAGAAGTATCGCTAGCGTTGGAAGGCAATGACGCCGGTGTAGACGTAGACGCAGATGCGCTTACAGAGGTAGACACGGATAGCGACGACAAAGATGATGAGGCAGAAGAGGAAGCACTCCCCACCACCGTATCCGTACTCTGTGCCTGACTCACAACACCCGCGCCCGCTTCTGACGTCGCAACCGCGGCAGCGGGATACAGCTCCGGCAACAGACTCTTAACATCTCCGGGTAATTTCTGGTACCAATTCGGCTCCAGATCGCCTGTTGGCATAGGGGCGTTGGGGCCCGTGGGCATAGCTGTTTTGAGCACTGATAAGACCGAGAGGAGTGTTGGGTTCATGGTTGCGGGATCGATGGCGCGGTCTTGAAGGTTGGGAAAATGGATTGCTGATGCGAAGGCGCCGGTAGAGGCGAAGGCCATGAGGATGGAGATCGACTTCATGGCTGTGTGGAGTTGTGCGATTTGTGGTGATTGATATGGGTGTTCAGATGGGTTGGCGTGGTGTTCGCGTGGCGGGTAAAAGAATGTGGGGTGATTGATTCTTGTTTGGAAGGATAATGAACGAGCGTGGGTTTTCAGCGAGAGCGAGTGTCGTGAATATAGTAGCTTGTTGTTGACAAACAAACGCGTGCAGTGGAGTCACTGCGATGCACGACTGCGAGCTTTTTGCGCGATATGACGTCGAATCGGGCGGGGAAAGAGTGCCCGGTCCCTCTGTTCAGTTCGACCGTTTGGGACGTTGAGAAGAAGAAAGTATCGTTGGGAACCGTTCGGTCAAGTCGTTATGTACCCGGGCTTCCTGAGCCGCCGTAAAAGTAAGAATGATTGTATGGCGCTGTGCTGGCGAAAATTCGAGATCGCAAGACCGATTGGAACGTGCAAAATTGTCTTTCACTGCGCTTGTAACCGTCTGAAATGGGGCAATACGATGATGGTGCTGCGGGAAGCCGTGCGTACGTCCAATGAGTGACCAAGTGACGAGAAGTTTGATGAGACTTTGTGCGACTGTGCCACAAGAAAATTAAGTGACCTTCTGACGAAGACGCGGGTATGAAAAAAGAAGAAGATACGAGATGCGAGTTCCAGCGCGCTCGAAAGAGAGATAATTGAAGCAAGTGTTGAGATGCCTGGTAAACAAAAGCAATCCGCGAACCAGATTTGAAGCTGAGGGGAAAATTACCGAGCGGCTGGGTAGTTTGGACATGACATCTGAGGCATCGACCAACCCCAGCAACATACGTTCCGTGTCGCAGCCTTACCTCAGATGCGAACTCTCTAATGATACTCGCCCCCCTGTGCCGTCGGTTGCGGCAAGTTCTGACGTTGCTTGCGCGCTAAGCCTCACCATGTCGGCGGCCATTGAAACATGCTCGTTGTTTCGGAACATTTCACGAACCGAAACGTGCGACGCCTGATCAATACTCATGAGAGTAAAGTACGGCGAGGGAACTGTTCTTAGAATAGTTCTTGCGGAGTGGCAGAAGTTTCTCCAGTGAGTGAGGTCCAAGTGTTGGCGTACATGCGCGCGATGGAAGGTTTACAAGAGACTCGGCGGTTTTTCAGCCATTTGCCGGCAGCAACATCGTGTCACTTTGAAGCCATCTGTCGGCTTCCTGGTCATGTCTTCTGTTTGCCCCTCGTTTGGGCTGCATCAAGCTCGATTCCGGAGATAGAGACTGATCGAAGAAAGGCGCACAGGAGGACAAGTGATGGAGTCAGAGATGATGAGACCTCGGGAGGCAGCTAAAAATCACCTCATCGCGTGTCAGCGCTTTGCGTTCAGTATCATGCTCCTCTAACTGGCCCCTTCCATCCGTAGACGGGAAGTTACGCGTCCAGGAAGCCTTCTCCCGAGCAGTGTTCACATGCGACCTGTCCCAAGCTGGAGGTGTGCCGTCGGTGGTTGCGGACTCCGGAGAATGGAGAGAGTTGATGCGAGCGCAAATGAGATGGAAGACCAGGGTTCCCTGCGGAGGTGCTATCCCAAAGCAGACGAACCTCGGCATCCCTTCCCACGACGCCACGCATGATGTTCGCTCAGGTACGAACGTGACAGTGTGCGATTGTCGACTAAGGCAGGTGCTAATCCACACGGCGTCTCTGGATAGGCTTGGTGCTTGGGCGACCGGCATATAAGATGCACTGCACATGGCCGCCCCAACTAGGACGGTACCCACCGCTACCAATCACCATAGCCCCGCGATAGCTTTCGAAGCTCTTCTCACGACGAAGTCGGATCGTACCAAACTACAGTTCTACCAACAAACACACTAGGCAATATGGCAGCTCCAGCAAGTGCGGATATCAAGAAGCTCGAGGGGAAATGGGTCATGGTAAGTTTCGAGCAGCTTTCAAGTCATATTGTTCTCTGCATACCTTCATCATTTCGTGCATCGCAACATCACTCTAACGCATCATAGAACAAGTCCCTCTCGGATGCGTTCGACGCCGTCCTCGCCCTGCAGGGCATGGGCTGGCTGACGCGCAAAGCCCTCGGCGCAGCAACCGTAACCCAACACCTGTACCAAAGCACCATTGACGGCGAAGACAACACGCCAACGACAGAGATCAAAATCGACCAGCTTATCACCGGCGGCATCAAAGGCTCCACTGAGACCCGCATTCTAGACTGGCACTACCGCGAGCACGTCGACCGGCTCTTCGGCACCGTCAAGGGACGGTCGCGCTACATTGCCTTAGCCAAGGCAATCGAAGAAGGAAAGGCTGCAGGTGTGAGCGAGGAAGATGCAAAGTTTGTGGCGGAAGGCTGGTTGAAGGAGACAGAAGAAGGAGATGTTGTCGAGAGCTTTGTGGAAAACGAGGCGAACAAATGGACTGCGTGGCAGATCTGGGGCTTCGCGGATATTGGGGGTGAGAGGAAGTTGACGAGGAAGTTTGTGGTTAGGAAGGTGGGGAGTGATGAGGTTGTTAGGGTTAGGCTTGTATATGACTACACGGGCGCGTTGGATCAGGCGGCTTAAGTTACAGGTTTGTACATAAGCGTTAGATTGACCAAAGAGCTGTCATTCCTGATCTGATCTGAGCGTTTTCTTGTGCTTGTCATGGCAAGGCCTCCCCCTTCAAACGGGCTATGCTGTCCCTCGAGTCGATAAAGAGTCGTGCAAGTTATCTCTCCCATAGTATGTACCACTTTGCACAACACAACACGACCACGAAGTAGATTAGCCGGACCCTCGTACAGTTGAGCTCATGCATGGATACAGAATCCTTTTACTGGTCCGGTTACCTGATAAAGAGCTCTCTTAGTACCACGCAGATTAGTAGCTACGTTCCACGCTGCAACTGACAGGCTTAAGTACTGCAGTATACCTCTCGCAGCAGGCGCCACAACATCTGCAACTCTCTCCATTCCGTTCTTTTGCAGGCGTTGGTGCAAACTGACATTTTCGCCATGGGTCCGTTGAACATGGCCGATACGAGCTTTCTGACGGATCTCTTTCTCGCCCTTATCGTTCTGACATCTACGATCCTTATCCTGATGCTGGCTTACCTCGTCATCCGCCTCATCAACCGACACAAGAGAAAGGCCAGTCAACAACCAGCCCAAGAGCCCGCTCTACTCGATCTCGAATCCGGTCGAGAGTCCCGCCTATCGCATCGCCTTTCGCGGCAACAAATACAACAAGAGCACTACGAAGACCTACAGCAGCGCTACTCATCCGTACCGCCATCACCATCAATCGAATTACTCCCCGAGATCAAGACGAGCGCAAGTGATGACAGAGCGAGCGAGTGGTTGGAGCGCGGAGTTACGGACGAAGGTATCAATGTGGTTCATGGGGATTTGGGGGAGAAGAAGTCGGAGATGATACAGGCGGTGGTGGTTAGGCCGAAGAAACAGTTGAGATGGGAGTGGAGGGATGGGAAGGTGGATAACGGCGCTGTACCGAAGAGATCTAGGGTCATTGAACGGACGGATAAGGATGGGATCGTGTGTAGGGAGTATCGGACGGAATGAGAGAGTGGATAAGGGTTTGGTGGAAGCATCTAGAGGTAATTGTAATAAAGAAGGTTTCGAGTAATGTGCTCTCTCACTATCTCATGTCAGCACCTGGAAGATACTGGCATAGTTGAAGAAACGTTGGCACGTGGAGATATCGTGCGACTGATCCAATGTACCTTCCTAGCTGCGCCTGTATCCATCGCGCGACTGTCGTATAAAGCCGCTTGCATGCTGACGTGACTTATCATCTTAGTCCGGGAGCACACAGTAGGACTTCTGTCCGCAAGGGTAGCCATGACAGCTGGTACACGTCCTGTCAACTCCATGGTAGCTCAAGCTGGACTGTAGGATTGGTGTGAACACAAGTAAATCCTGTCTGCGGGTAGCGTTGTTGTCATATCATACCTATAGCCAGTGATATTATAGGCATTGTATGACCGCGAAGACTGGTCCATAGTCCTGTGTTCCCCCCTTTACCCGAGTCCGGATCGTACAAATGATACGCCGAACTCCATAGACCCGCAAGCAAACACAGTACCTTTGTTCTATGAAACCTTGGGATTTCAGACACTCTCGAGATCGACGGAATCTGACACTGTGTATCATGGTGAACATTGGAGGAGATCATATTGATGTCGACACGCATCCGTACCCTGATATGCCGGAAAGCTTCTACGGCAAGGCCTCGGAGGTTCTCAATGCGGACGTTGGTTCCGGAGAGAGTGGCCACGCGAACTCGCTGATTGTCGACATACCGATGACTACACGCCTCACCTGATCAGCGCGCTCTCAGCAAGCACAACCTTCGATACTGGTTCCATCCATGTATAGAGATACAACGCCAGGAGACATACGCCATTTTGGCGCCATGTTTGCGATTGTGCTCGCTGGCATCATCGGTCTTGCAGTCCCAATCACCCTCTTGACAAGATATCTGAAACGCGCCAGACAGGAACAGAAGCAGACAGAAGAAGAAGACGCGGTCCTAGAGGATGTGTTACAGCACAGCCAACTCAACTCAAGAGCGTGGAATGTGGGGTTGAGGCGACTGCAGACGGCCTCCATCAGGAAGTGGCCGAACGAAGAAGCCAGTGCTCAGTTGGTGGGTGTGCTTGGGCGGCCGAACTGGGATATGAAGACTCCGTGGTTGCAAGGCTGTGCGGAGCGCGAGATGCTGGAGCAACTATTTGAGCGGGAGAATAGGGTGCGTAGAGGTAGCAGGGAGAAACCATTGCCAGTGTGCCCGGAGTGATATCGATAGCGGCGAGACCGTTCCAAGGTTGGAATTGATAACCGGTGATGCGCCCATCGAGCAGCGGTTGTCAAGTCCGAGTAAGCGTAAGCGCACGCGCACGCTACATGCATTTGCCTGTTCTTGGGGCGTTTGTTTGTGGCTTCGGGTAGTGGACAGTATGCGATTCAAGAAAGGACTGCAAGGCGGAAGACATGGGTCCTCCAGGCATGTATGCGGCTTCATCAACAATTCGCATGGAATTAGTACAAGATAAGATTTGTGGCGACCTCAAATAAGGAGAGAGCTGAATGGGTCTGGAGCCTACAGTGACATTGGGTCGCCTACTTTGCAAGTTTTCATCTTCATGTAGGTTCCATGGTGTTTAGAGTTTTCCTTGAATGAGGTGTGGCTGGTTGCTGTGGTGAAATAGTGAGGCGGTCTTGATGTCCGGAGATGTCTGAGGATGAAGAAGAACAGAGACAACGGTGACCGTAGACAGAAAGCGTACGTAAGCTCGCATTAGAGTGGTCTGCATCGAAACTCGACTGCACGTCGATCAGCGGAGATGCAGATGCAGGGGTGAAAGACGTTGCCCAGCGGTAAGAACGTGGTAAGACGGTTACGCTAGGCTGCAGCCGAGTTAGCGTAGAAGCTTGGACAATCGACCAAATTTCACGACTGGGTAAACAAGAGCTGTTTGGGTTCATTTACTTGAACTATTCTTTCTCTCGCTCGATAATCACACGCCCGACGCGCCTGAACACGAAATCCAGCACCTAAGCGCTCCTTCTCCCATCCACGACTGCGACTTCCCACCAACGCAGCTGCCCGCCCCGCTCGCTTCTACCACCCGCCGACACCCCACTGACGACCTCGGAGCACACGAGCTCTCACACCACCCTACGCGCACCATGTCGGGCGAATTGGATATCGACTTCACGCGCCGAAACAAGAAGCCGCGCCCGCTCTCGGACCACGAGAAGGAAAAGCTGGATGAATTTGTCGACGCGATCCATTACTCGGCGAGGTGGGTTGTCAACACAAGAGGCGGTCAGCGCGTTTTCTTTATTGACCGCGAACACAGATACTCGGACGACGCATACGAATACCGCCATGTGCAGCTGCCTAAGCAAATGCTGAAGGCTATCCCAAAAGACTACTTCGACGGCGCGCGAGGCACACTGAAGCTGCTGTGGGAGGAGGAATGGCGGGCACTGGGCATCACACAGGTACGCGTGGTTTTGATACAGGCCGCAACACATATGCTGACTTGGGAACAGAGTTTGGGATGGGAGCACTACGAGGTCCATGAGCCAGAACCTCACATTCTGCTTTTCAAGTACGTTGTGTCAGAGCATACGCCGCGCGCTGCCAGCTAATTCTCCAACAGGCGACCGATCAACTACCAGCCACCCATGCACTGATTCAACATCGAACCGCGGCGCAGCCAGAGGTCTACTTATCATTGACCGAACACGCGCAATAGCTGCGCACACCACCACGGCACACGAGACGGCCTATTCGCGATACCTTCTTTATCCATTTCCAGCGAGGCGCGTTATACATAACGACGATATGATTACGGTGGTATGATCGATGCGCTGGGGTTGTAGGTTTACGACCGGGTCGAAAGCGCGTCTCTATATCCATTATGATAGGGTACCCGAAGCCCACAATTGTACATATGGCCGAGGCAGGAGGTGCAAGGAGTACTGGACATTGGGCAAGAGAATATGGATTAGGTATATGGTTGTTAATTGCTACGAGGATTTATGATAGATCCATAGCTCCTTCACCTGGTCCAAATCTGATACTTGTTGAAATGACCTTTTTGCACCAGAGTGCCACGGAGAGCGCAACTTGACGTATGCATACTCATACGGACCGAATCTAGCGTGTCCCACACCCTTCTCGCTTTCTGGTCTACCCACATGTCAATCTCGGTCCCTGCGTAAGTTTGTCTTGACCTGTTTGCTTGTGTTTACTTGATGGGAAGAGAATCTTGAGTCAACCCCAACAGCGAACATATGCGGACAGGCCAACATCAAGCACAATGGCAACGCCTCCATAGCCCCCGGTGCTTTCTTCAGACGCGGGAGCAACATGCTCGTTGTCGCTCCGTGCTAGATAGTGTCCATTGCGGCCATCTAGAACCAGGGTTTTACCGCCATATCAATCTAGAATCTGAGGAAGTTCAACCTATGAGTAGATCTTGAAGATCAATCAGCCCGAATCCAAGGTTACGATATATTGCCGGTCTCAAGAGTAAGCTAGTGGCAAGGAGATGCTGACCGTAGATTCACGACAAATTGAGGGTTCGTCATCCTACACGTATTCCTGCAGCGGTGGCTAAGGATTGATGTTGTGGGCTTAGGCTTCGTCTACAATGTGTTGGCACTTTGGTACCTGGGTATTGTCAAGGTATACCTGGCTCCTTTTATATGCTCAAGCAGACACGACGTAAGAACACCAACGGCTAGGAGGCAGGTTTCTGGACTACCGAGTCAAGGACTCTCGCATACATCCAGTGGAAGTGCGCGAAAAATGGTTAGACTGACTCTTCAGAGGGCGCAATATGTAGTCGTGACGACGGAGTGGATGATTCACACCGGAGAAAAGCGGCCCGACTTTCCCTGAGATGTCATCAGCCTGGGCAGAATCCACACCCTCTAGTCTCTCACATGCGGATCTGCGCTTAAAGATCTCGTAATGTCAACCACGAACCCATGGTCTTTCAAATCTACATGCGGTTGAGCGGACGGATTTCATTCCGGTACTTAGGCCAGTCGCATCAAGCGGGCGATGAGGGGAATATTGGGATCTGACTTTCTTTACGGGCCTTTCAACAACGACCTCCAGTACTCGGAGGAGGATATATCGTTCCGTTGTTGAGAGATTAAACGGTAGTTTAAGCGAGGACGAATGTGGAAGTACTGAGCGTGCAGCTGGGTATCCATCTGTCATCCCGCAGCATCGCAACCCAAGTCTGAGGTCGCTGGCAGTGCGAGGCTAAGCCTGCGTTTTACGTACACTGGCGTAGATCGCATCCGATTTTCCAGCCTTCTTCGGTCTTGGGAGGTATGGCGGCGCCGCGGTTCTTCACCCAGCCTCCCTGAATCGCGTCAACGGCGAAAAGTGCTATGACATCAACGGCAAGATGCAACGGCAAGATGCAACTCGCTGACTAGGATTGGCGGAGATATTCGGGTCCTGCGCACTGCCGGTGGTCGGAGCGGAAAGCGTTTTGCCTGAAGTGCGAGCGGTGAGAAACGAGACCAGGGGCAGAGCGGAGCGGAGATCGCTATCGAGGGGTCCTATGCTAAGTATGGCAGTAGGGCTTGTGGAGAACACGCGACACGTGCGGAGGCCGTTCATACCATTACCATGGATACTGGCATAGTCGGGTGAGCTGCCTTGCGATGAGGCGGCTCGTGGAAACCTCGGAACGTGGCAAAAGGTTGGGCCATCACGTCGTGCCATGTGCTGTCGATGCTGCACACAAGAAAAATCCAGCGGCGCAACTGTCAGCTGCAAGGTCCCTCAAACGGTCGTCAACTGTTTACCAGTGCTAGGCGAGCGATAATGATGCGTAGCCGTGGGTGACGTGCATGCGCCAATACTAAAACTATGGAGTATGGTAACGAGTACATAAGAGTAATTCCTCGAGACAGTTAAACTGGATCCTGTGTAGTACAGACGCACAGATAAGCAAGAGCTGGAGTAATGGAAAGATCACATTATTCAGGTGGGGGAAGCCATGCACGGCGGCCATTGGCCCACCGCAGAGTCCTTATCTCTCGGCTGTACGTAAGATAGAATGCAGGAAGCCGCTAGAGCCCATCCAGCTTACCTCCAAGCAACATCCGTGCACCCTGCATCTTGAAACCCATCCCGAGCACATGTCTGCCACAAAAGACTCTCGCAGCGCGCTCTCCAGCGACACTCCAGTATATACGACTGCCACCCCCGATAATGCGCCTGCTTTCTCCCCACACAGGGTTCTAGGTCTCCAAGCTCCAAGGCCAGGCTGATCCCGCCATCCCGCCCGCCTCCGCCCATCCTCTACTTCTTGCGTAGACCTTCAATGACGGCGCGAACCATCAGTCACCTCATACTCCTCGCCGCCGTTACCGGCAACCTAGGGCCCTAAGTAGGACTCGTCTGACTGTCCATTGGATTACCCAACTGGATTTGCATTTCCGGGATATCTCCCATATACCGATTGAACTACCTATCTCCCACGCGATAAGACCTGTCACGAACCCTGCTTCCGATAGCGAGATACTTGCACCCTGATTCGGAAACTAGCCAACGGGCCGTGTCTATCATAGCCTTATCGCACCCTTCCACCACGCCAGCTAGCCATGACGGCCGTAGCAATGCAGCAGCCGGCTATGGGCCCACGTCCTGTTGTCTCTATAGCACCAGCTCGTCCTCGCACGATACAGAAGTCACCATCCAGCAAGGAGAGCTTGAGCAAGCCCACGTCCAACAACGGTCCAGTATCTAACATCCGCTCACGGAGGGAACGCCCTTGTGACGCGTGCCGAAGGAGGAAGAGCCGCTGTGTGATACACGAGGGCGCTGCTTTGTGTGTCCTGTGCGAGTTCCACAAGCAGGAGTGTACCTTTGTACAAAGCCCACTGCCGCGGAAGAGGAAAGTCGTCGACGGTGAGAAGAAAGACTCGCCAAACAACACCAAGAAGAGGTATGTTTAGGCCACCCCGCTACTGCTTCACGTCCACGGCTCGCGTAGATATATCACTTCCGACATCTGCTATGCCTCTTGCGTCACGCTACCAGGTCACGTGCGCATGTGCAACCTACTTGCTTTTTCATCCCGCATGTGGTCGTGGCACCAGCAGCTGTGGCCCTCGCCAGGCGTCGGCGTATAGCTGGATGTCGTGCTGACATCCTCTGGCAGATCCGTCGACTCAGATCCTCCGCCACTAGCACTATCAACACCCACCATCACAGCAACCGCGCCAAGTCCACCACCACCGCAACCCTCACTATCTCAAATAGCGAGCCTTCACTTGCCTCAGTTTGGAGAGACATTAGGGCTGCAACGGCGGCAACATAGCAGATACATCGGTTTGAGTTCTCCATTCGATTCGCTGCTCATTGGCCTATCACAGTTCGACACCCGTAACGAGTCGACCTTCGACCTTGGTACGCTTCGACGTGTGAACGATCATGAATGTTTCATTATGCTACCTGACGAGAACACACAAGACTTCGCCGGCGAGTCTGAGGCCTTGGTTCAGGTCGAGCAGCTTGTGCACCCACATGGTCCTGCTTTACTAGATCTTTACTTCCAAGTAGTGCATCCAAACTACCCCATCATCCAGAAACATCTGTTTGTCGAACGGTATCGCAGAGGCGATCGAGGTTTTTCGCCAGCTTTGTTGGCTGGCATGTACATCCTAGCGCTCAACTGGTGGTCTCTCGACCCCAAGCTAGCAAATTACTCCCGACCTGATGCAGCACGGCTAGAAGCGATTGCTATGAAGGCGCTCACACTAGCTATGGAGCGACCTAAACTGTCGACGATACAGGCTGGCTTGCTGTTGCTGCAACGTCCTGAAGCGGACTCTTGGAGCTTGACAACACAGCTGGTGGCCATTGGTCAAGAATTAGGCCTGCATCTCGACTGCTCATCATGGTCAGTTCCTCTCTGGGAGCGTGGCTTGAGGAAGCGCATCGCATGGGCGTTGTACATGCAAGACAAGTGGAGCTCACTCATCCACGGCCGGCCATCGCACATCTTCAATGCCAACTGGGCGGTGAAGCCGATAACAGAAGACGATTTTGTTGAAGAAGGGGATGGATACGAGACGCGTCAGGAAGAATCTGAAGAGGAGCAGGTAGAGAGCCACCGAGGCCGGATACTGTTTGCCCAGATGATTGGGCTCACGCAGATCATGGCTGAGGTCATGGACACATTTTACACCCAAACGGCGATTCACGACTTTGCCAATGCGGGGAGAAAGTCGACCGAGTTGATCCTCGCACGAGCCAAGCCTGTTCAAATCAAGCTTCGTCAATGGCACGAGAAGCTACCCACAGAGGTCAAGATGAACGTTCCCGAGAAGGGCAAGCTCACCTCTACGGGCTATCTGCATCTCGCGTACTTTGCGACGGAGATTACGCTGCACAGGCGCATAGTGCAGTCGCTCGACTCCACCAACCCCGACTCTTACGGTCTCTTCATGTGCCGCAACGCCGCAAAGACGCGGCTGATCTCTGCTATGGACTTCGTGAACCGTCTGAAGCCAGAACATCTGCAGGGTTTCTGGTACTTTGCTTCCAAAGTCAACTTTACGCTCATCGGCACCTTTGGGTCGCTGTTATGGGCTACGGCACCCGCCAAGGAGGAAGCCGAGTTTTACAAGCTCAGGCTATGCGAGTATCGCTGGACGCTTTCCGTCTCTTCCAAGCGTGCGGACTTCCTTGAGTACGCCGTGTCGATGTTGGACGCGAGTCGCGCCATGCTTAACAATCTGGCGGAGAAGCCCAGCCTCGCAGAACAAATCAGCAGTGCTGGCGTTCCGCCCGCGGCGCCCCCACGGCAATACAGTTCTTTTGCCAATATGGGACCGCCGCAGAACCCGAACGGTGCGGGCCGGTACGAGATGGAGGATGTCGACATGGGCGACGACAACGATCTGAGAAGGATGTCATCAGGTGAAAGCTTCGAGGGCTTTAATGATGGATCTCAATTCGGCAGTCGGCCGCATACAGCTGGTAACTCACCTCGCTCAATGTGAGTGCTTGATGCCAGGGGCTTTGACGACTCGCGGGATTGTCGTACAAGTTTCAGGAAGCAGTCTTGTGATGTTCAGCGATTAAGCGTTCTTTTCATGGTGGGATGGTGGGCGTTATATAGGCACGCCTGGGGCTGCCACAATGGTACTCTGGGATTGCGCCAAAATGGCGCCATATCGCGACAGACGGCACTGGGATACTCCACGGATTTGGTCTTCAGCGACTGTTGGTCATGATTTGATGTTCAGCGATAGTATAGACCGCTTTTTGGATATATGGTATTGACGAGAAGAATCAATGTTGGTACATTGCCGCCGCCTTCGGGCGGTGCAAGCACACTCGGCCTTTTTTTGAGACGGCATGCACGTGCCGAGTGAAACAAGCAAGTATTGAGCTGACATTGGTGTAACAGGAATGCAGCTTTTGACAGTAATCTGACTGTTGTTGTGGCATTCTGAGTTGGAGATGGGCTGTGCCTGCCGTTGCCTGAATATTTTTACTTCAGGGTTCGGGCAACAGCTGACACGCCTTGACCGCGCTGCCTGCGCCTCGGACCCCGTCCATGATCCCCCAACACCCATCACACATTGATCAGTTCACAACTATCCACACGCGCACAAACAGTGTTTTCGATATCGCAATCAAAGTTCAAACGGCAAAGCTAAGTAGCGACGGCAATGATGATCGCGTGCACAAGCCCCATACACACACGCACCGCATTCTCTCATGTTCAGACAGCGCGCCGACGCGCGCAACGCGAGGAATTCTCACTCCAACACCTTCGCGCCATATCAGACCACCCTGAAGGCGTTCGCAGTCTGACCCGTCCTTCGGTGAAAATGCAAAGGCGTGCGGGTAGGAGCAGCGCTTCATCCCGCTCAAACAGGTCGCTTGGCAGACTCCTTCAGCCGCACCTGGACAATGCGGCGGGCGCATTGGCGACATGGGGAATTAGGCGTCCGTCATGGGCATTCGGTGATCGGCCATTCACGGTGTACGACTCGATGAGGATAAATTAGAAGAGCTGCGCTGCCTCATTGCCCCATTGCCTGAATGCAGCTCCGTGGCTTGGAACCGGTCAGCTTCGTCTTTTGTGCTGCGTGTACTTACTTGTCTTTTTGCTTACCCCTGAGTGTCATATAACGACGTCCGACGCGCTTGCCTGCGATTCAGCCTTGGTATCTGATCAGCGTTCTTGTACTTGTTTATACGCATTCCTCCTTCCTATAATCGACATTGCGCGCTACAGACGACCGACCTTCTGTTCTTCTTTTCCCATTTACCTACACAAACTTGCATTCTGCCACCATGGTCAACGACAACACCGCCTGGAGACGACGGCTAGTGATCTGCTGCGATGGCACATGGCAATCTAGCGTCAGCAGCAAAGACAACATACCCTCAAATGTTGCCAGACTCTGCCGCTTGATAGCGCGTGTTGGCACCGACAAGGACGACGCCTCAAAGAAATTCCATCAGATCGTGTACTATGACTCCGGGATAGGAACCGGGAATCTCAGTACCTCTGAGAGGCGACGACAAGGCGGCACGGGAGCTGGTCTTGCGGAGAACGTCATCGAAGCCTACAACTTCATTGTGCAAAACTACGAGCCGGGCGATGAAATCTTCTGTTTCGGGTTTTCGAGAGGAGCTTACACCGCACGTGCGGTTGCCGGGCTGGTCTCGGATATTGGTGTGATTGCACCGGTCAACATGCAATTCTTCCCGGAGCTGTATCGACTGTATCAAAGAAATGAGGAGGGTGTTGACTTCCGCGAGACGAATGAATACAAATGGTTCACCAAGGGCAAACTCAGCGAGAAGGGTCTACAGATGGAGAAAGAGGGCGTAGATGTCAGGAACATCGACTGGCATGATCTCAAATTGCTGGCAGAAGTATGGGACATTCGACCGCATGGCGAGCTTGCTGTTAGCGAGGGTAGCAGGAAGGTGAAGGTGGTTGGTGTGTGGGATACCGTTGGCTCGTTGGGTGTACCTGATCTAATCGGTATTGATCTGGCGTGGTCGAGGACGAAATATGGGTTTCACAACGTCGAGCTGACGGAGAGTGAGTTTTAGTGGTGCCGAAGCGTATGATTCTGGCTAACGGTTTGTAGATATCGAACATGCGTTCCAGGCGCTGGCTCTAGATGAGCGTCGGAGGGCCTTCCGCCCTACTCTCTGGTACATTCCTAAAGATCTAGTCGACGATCCCAACAGACCAACACCGGAGCTGAAGCAAGTTTGGTTCCCTGGTGTTCATACAAATATCGGTGGTGGTTCACAAGACGCTTTCGGTGATATGAAAGGAGATTCGGAAAACATCTCCACAGCAACCCTCTGCTGGATGCTTCAAGTCATCTCCCCTTACCTCACAATCGACCGCCATGCTTTCCAGCTGTCCATGGACCAATACACGCGCTGGATATTCCGCCTCCGCTTCGCTTGCACCTACCACCACCAGAACTTCCTTCAAAAAGCGTGGAACCTGCTCCCAAAGATCTCCATTCCCGGCATCGGTCACGATACACTCAAACCTCCGCCGCGTTCTCCACCCCACTCACACACCAACTTCGACTTCAGCTGGGGTACAGGTCCCCTCGTAGACTCTTACAGCGGCATATACTACTTCATCGGATCTTGGCAACGCATGCCCGGCCACGAGGAAGTCGAGTGTTACAACGAAGACACCAAGGCGCCCAAATGGACCAAACTCCGCGACTTGGGCGATACAAACGAATACATCCACCCCATCACCTACTACCGCCATCTCGTCCGCGGATGGGACAAGCACTCTCCGCTGAAGCACAACTGGAACCGCGGTAATTGGCGCACAAAAGAGGATGATACAGCGAGGTTTTGGTGGTACAAGGATAATGAGCAAGAGAAGGGCGCGATACCGGAGTGGATCATGATGCCGGATGGTCCCGCGGACGAGTACAATTACGAGAGGACGTGGTATAATAAGTGTGAGGAGGTTGCGGGCATAATGGATAAGAGTGTTGGAAAGGAGGATTTCCGCGGCAAGGGGTTCTTGGAGAATTTGGACAAGGAGATTGATCTGGGGGTTGATGGGATGCCGAAGGATGTCGCGCCTTGAGAGGGGGTTGCGCCAAACCAGAGAGAATGTGGACACCCCCTAGAGTCTACATCGACGTTAGACTACCTACTTTGTATACTTTTACGTTAATGTAGTGTGCAACCCTGTTCAGCTTTTTTCTTGCATGAGGTAGGGTCCCCGAGTACAGGGTTGAAACTTGATAGTGTTGCCGCATACAGTGGGATAATATCAGCGGATTGGAGAATCTGGCGTTGATGTAGGCTGCACGGTGTTCAGGTTTCGGCCTGATTAAGATGTTGTGGTAGATCAGGTGGTTGGTAATGCGGTCGGATTGGGAATTAGCGGGAGGTGATCTTTCTGAGGAGCTGGTCTCTTATGATGATGTGCGACGGGCCTAATAACATATGTAGAGAATGTCGAAGTTAACTCCAAAAATCTCAAGATTTAAGTCTTTTTTAGGTATTAGATATAAAGGTGGTTTATGGCAGAGTATTACAGATGAAGGCAAGATACGACTATTCAAGCTTTGCTGCATAGACAAAATGCAAGACAATGCAAGCAGCGTTTGTGTGCATCTTTATACTTTTCAAGATTCGAGTAACGTTCCCCTAGTTTCTTAGACAAGTTAGGTTTGTAAGATATACTTAGCTCTTGCGACAGCATGTTACAGCCTGCAAAGATAGGAACAAGAGGCGGCAAAAAAGAGCAAAAAAGAACTTGTAATGGACGGGCGGGTGATCTGGGAACTGTTAGCGAGTGGGCTCGACCTTTGGAGCGAATATAGACTTACCGAAACCCGGACCTTCCGCAATTGTTTAATTCTCTGCAATAGGACTAGCGCGAAAATTTGCAAAGCGGACGCTCTACCACTGAGCCACACGCCCTGGACGTTCAGTTCATCTTTGGGAGGTTGTTGGCAAGTTTTCGTGGAGTTTGGATTATATGTCGGGTTTTTGGATGATAGTGCGCTAACGCCCGCTTCGGGTTAGCGGCACGTGGATCTTCCCGACCACGTTCCGCAGGCGATCGGAAGCGTGCGACTGCCAGGGTTCACAGCCACGCCTTGGCGCAACCCGGAACCTCGTCGTCAGCACCAACATCCTATCACAGTAAACAACACGTCTTCACTATCGTTCCGCCCCGATCACCCCCTCATCACCCACAAATAAGCTTCGTACTATTGCGACACTCGACAATTTGAATTGACCGCGCGTCTATCTCGGCACCGCCTTCCCGCAAGCTGTCGATAGCTTCGCAAACAAAACAAATCGCAGTCGCAACGGAAACCGCCACGATGGGATCCTTAGGCACATACTTTCTGGACGTTGTCTATTCCTTCACGAATTGCATGGTTTGCTTTCCTAGCTCACCACAATTGAAGATCAACAGTCGGAGTTTCAAGATATTACGGCTGCTGGGCGAGGTAAGCTGAGCTCCATACAATGGACTACATTCAGTCGACTCATCGCGATACAGGGTGGCTTCTCATACGTATATCTCGTACAAGATAACTCGAATCAACAACTCCTCGCACTCAAGAAGATTAGATGTCCCTTTGGCCAAGAAAGCGTGAGCCTGGCGCTCAAGGAAGTCGAGGCCTACACACTCTTCTCGCCGCACCCCAACATCATACACTCAATCGATTACTCCGTTGAAACCGACAAGTCAGACTCGTCCGCGAAGACCGTATACATCCTCCTCCCGTACTACCGTCGCGGCAACCTACAAGACATGATCAACGCGAACCTGGTCAACCACACAAAGTTTCCTGAACGAAGACTCATGGTACTGTTCCTGGGTGTCTGCAAGGCGCTTAAGGCAATGCATCAGTACAAGATTAAGGGCGGACCCGGCGGCGCGAAGAGCGAGGGCAAAGCGAAGAAGGTCCGGAGGGACGCGAAGAGGGCAGACGCGGAAGCTGCGGAGACAATGGAGATGCGCCCGAGCAGGCGGAACCGCGATCATGATGAGGACGACGAGCAAGAGGCAGAAGGACTGCTAGAGGAGTCAGAAGTCACAGCGGCGCACGAAGGCATTGCGCCTGGCGGGGAGAGGGCGTACGCGCACAGAGACATCAAGCCTGGTATGTACTCCATTCATCTCATGGTTGCCCATTCTACAGACTAACACGCGTAGGAAACATCATGATAGACGACGACGGCCAGACACCCATCCTCATGGACCTCGGCTCCCTCGCACCATCCCCAACGCCCGTAACGTCGCGATCCCTCGCCCTACAAATCCAAGACACCGCGGCCGAACACTCTACCATGCCATACCGCGCTCCGGAACTCTTCGACGTCAAGACCGGTTCTGTAATTGACACCAAGGTCGACATTTGGTCGCTCGGTTGCACGCTCTACGCCTGCTTAGTCGGCAAGAGCCCCTTCGAGGCTAGGTCAGACGAGACTGGTGGCAGTCTGAGCATATGTGTCTTGGGTGGTGACTGGAGATTTCCAGATGAGGGTATGCAGAGAGGCAAGCAGAAGGCGAACCCCGAGGATGCTATCACAGACAGCGTCAAAGAGGTGGTGAGGAAGTGTTTGAGGCTGGAGCCAAGTGAGCGACCAGATGTTGATGAGCTCATTGAGATTGTGGAGGGCGTGCTGAGGGAGCTTCCTGAGGACGGCTCGGACGATTAAGTGATGCGGCATCCGCTCAAGTGGTTCCTCCTTTGATGCGTGCTCGTACGCGTAGACTTCTTTCCTACACGGCGTGAGTATTTCCAAAGAAGGCTTGGGCTCTTCATTTTTCTATCCAGGCGAGCGTATCGATACGTTTCAATATACCCTTTCATGAGTTGATCTCTCCAACTCACTTCCAGTCCCACCTCATACAAGGAAAAAACCGAACAGGTACTCTGCCGTCTACGTTGGTATAAGGGTTGAAGTTTATATATTCTTCAGGGTAATGTAGACTTCTAGGAGGCGGTTGTTCAATTTTTTCAATGTACGAGGTGGTGCCACTCTGACTAGGCGCTATTCTTATACGGGTCCTCTGGACTACCAAGGCACGTTAACTAAGAAAAAACTAAACAGGCCTGCAGCCTACATTAACATAGAAGCATGCGAAGTCGATAGCCTAACGTTGATGTAGGCTCTCGACCTATTCATTTTATCTTCTTGTATCAGGTGAAGGCATCAAGTAGATATTAGGAGTTCTTGTGGACCTGTTCCCCGTTCTTTAGTTTCCTAAAGAGATGCATCCACTCTGCTTTGTGCCAGTTTCTCTCACGTCCTGAGACGGAGTATATAAAGCGCCCACCCACATCAACGATCTTCATCCTTTCCTCGGCGTGAAAGTCACCATAGTCTTCTGCAAGAGGATGAGCGGATTTTGCGATGAGATGTCGTTTTTCGATCCGTTGTTCCATCAGCGCCGCAGTGAGCGCACCGCTCAGACTTGCGAAGACATCCAGCTGGTGCATTACGCGAAGACGGTTCTGGACCCATTGCTCTCTGGTCAAAACTTTTTGTTCCGTGTTGGAGTACACCGATGAGTCGCGCAAGAGATGGGTGTGTAAGATAGATACGGAGTCCCTCGGTATGCTCCACAGAGCATCTACTAACGAAACCTTTGTTTCTCCGGTGTCTTCAATGCTGTCGAGCAGCAGCCATGCTTCGGTCGGAAAGGCGCAAGGCTTTCTACGGTATATTTCTCCGAATTCCACAATGTCGCAGTTGTCCCGGTGTCTATGGTAGAAGTTCCAAATGAGGGAGCGAGGTTGCGGTCGCAGTAACGCTAACGGTGTGTCGATGCTAGACCCGAAGGACATGGCGTATCGAGGACAGGACCAATCCTTCGCATTGCGAACTTCTTCATCATCAATGAAAGCTAAGGGCATGTGATGGAACGTGCCATAGATCCGCAGGTCTTTTATGAGGTTTGTCGCGAAGGTCTGGCAATTGTTGTCTCGCCAATCCCAACTCAGTCGGGTATCCGGATTCGACAGAACCTTGGAGAAGTGCTTGAGATATATATTGATCTCGTGTCCAAAGGTTTCTTTGATGGCCTCGACTATCGGTAGCGAGGCCTTGCGCAGGTTCGATCGCGCTTGAGTGACCCAATCAGTAGATTTTCCCTTTATCTTAAAGCTAGAGCCAGCCTCGACCAAACGCCTTATCACGTCCTTTTCCCCATCTGCGAAGTGCACATTGTGTCCAGAGAATGCACCACCACATACCTTCTTCGCGCAACCAAGAATGCGGCGATCTGTTCTAGGTTTCTGGTGTAGCTCTTTGATCACGCGTTTGTTGGCTCTGTCATCGTACACATGTCCTATAAGGACTGTCTCGTTCGTCGCGTCCCGTTCGGAAAAGATCATCTTCATGAGAGATGGTTTGTATCGGAGAGACGGTATGGGCCGACACGAAATGTCGGCTTTGTAGACGCTAATAGGTTGGTTCAGTACCATGCTACAAGGTAGTGGGTCGATGACTCACTGTGGCAAGCCATTCTCTATCATCAGAGGCCCGAAAGTGAGAGCGACGTGAAGTGGTCCTGCATTGGCGAAGTGTGTGGGAGAAATAAGCTTGGAAGCCGTTCTCTTCAGCTGCGACTCGGATGAACCGTTCGATTTCCTGGATGGACCGTCTTTTTCCCTGAATTCAAAGGTCCGTAGCTTTGCCCTGAATGAGGCCATTCCTAGAAGAGTTTAAGTGTCTAAGGACATATCAAATTATAAAAGTGTCATACCCTTGTCTTCAACTTTGGGTTGAAAGATCTTGCGACAGTGTTCTCGCTTACATGTCGCCAATTTGTTGTCTTTGCGCGTACATGCAACGCATAGCCTCACGGGCGGCTGAGACTCAAGGGGTAAATCTGGGGCCTCGATATCGTTGTTTTCTTGATCCTGAATGTAGAAGTTCGGAATGGAACTGAAAGACACAGAGCGTTAGCAAAGCTTGAAGGCTACAAAGCGGTGCGAACTGACCTGACACATCCTTCATTACACTCATAATAGAAATATTCTCGCAGGGGCTGTCGGCACGCTTCGCAACGCATTTCACGAAAATAAAAATGCGACTGATTAGGTAGTCTGAACGTCTCGCCTAAATCTCCAATTAACTTACAAATTCTGAGCTTTCTTCATTTTGCCATTACGTACCACGTGGATTATGACAATGACTGCCAATGGTAACGTCGTCCATACCGTCGTGCACCACATCGACATCCAGTAGCCCTAGTATAATGTATTAACAATACTCACACATACAGCCTATAGTGTGAATTACCTAGCGTTTGAAGAAGATGCCGACTACGACGTGGTTTCGAATCGAGATCTAAGTGAGCTACGTAAACCTTTAGCCGTTTCCGATTCGAGCATACGGGAAGAAGTCCATGTACCTTGGGCAAGTTCGACTGCGCGACTATGCAATCTTACGGAATCGAATGCATCGTCACCTTTGACATAGGGTGCTGTAGCTCGGTCAGCGTGCGTACCATGGTTTTTGAGCTCGCCAGTCGTAAACTTACTCAACAACGTACAGAAACGCTTAAAGTTACAAGCGCTAAGATCCGGAGCACTGCTTTCGTCTGGATAATTCGGTTGGTACGTCTCGATATCTTGATAGGCAAGAATGAGTTCGCGTATTTCCCTCTCCAAGCCGTCCCAATAAACGGTACTGAGCAGCCGGAAGATCGCATCAAAGGTACCATCGTAGATGTGGTCATCTGGAGTGCTTCCAGAAGTCTCAGGGTCCATCGTGTCATACAGGAAAGGTGGTATTACCAGGGACGTGTCTCCCAAGATCGCGAGGAAAGGTCGGGTATCCGAGTACCCCTCAGCTGTGTAACGATGCCAAGAGTTCAGGCGGCAACGACCAATTTGACATGATCAGAGCAGTCATCATAGAGGCATATTCTCAAGATGCCACAGTCAAAAGCAGAAGCGAACAAAAGACTTCGGAATATCTTCCGTAAGTCGAAAACGAAGACTGTGATCGCTGAAAGCGGCGGAGCTGTAGCCTCTTCCTCGAACAGTGTATCACAGTCTACTGAGAGTACTTCGAACTCGGTCGCGCTGTCTAAAGCCTTCAAAAAGCTGAACGATATTGACTTCTCACACGACATTGCCGATCAACGTGAGTGAGCACTTGCAGCATGAATCAAGAGCACCCATAACATCTCGCTGACATCTCCAAGTCGACAACGAGTTGATCGACTACATTGGCAAGATCGAACAATATCCGAATCATCTTCTCCGGGGTAATACCGATCCTTTTGAGTTGTACGTGATCAAAGAGAATAAGAACTGCAATATGAAACTAAAGGGAATGTAGGGACAAAGGCCACTGGAAACAAGTCGATCTCGCAGCAAAATGGGCTGTACGTGTTCACAAGATCAATGAATCATCGGACGACACGATATTTTGCGGGCCGAAGAGTGTCACCGGAAACAGCAGGCCCTTCTGCTTACATGCTACAAAGATCGACGGGCATGACACTGTTGTAGTCGCATTTCGCGCTACCAGGTGGCCTATGTATTCTCCGATGGAGTGGGCAGTGAACACAAATACAGATCCTATGGACTGCGACGAGCTGGGAGTAGGCATGAAATTTCATCGCGGTCTTCTTGCGCTCGCGAAGAACATGGAATCCATAGTATCAGCAGAGATAGTCAAGATGTCCGAGAATCGCTTGCCAGGTGAAGTGAGCCTGTTGTTCACTGGCCATTCCAGCGGTGCCGCAATTGCGCAGCTTCTCTTCGCATCTATGCATTCAAATAGCTCTCAATGGTCGCAATCGCAAGCAAGTAAGTGAGCCCATTATACTCTCGAGCGCTTGGCTGATCTAGGCTACGTTGTATATAGTGCGTAAAGTTATGTGCATAGACTGCATCACATTTGGAGGACCGCCGATTTCCAAACCTGCGATTTCGCGTCCGACGACAAGATCATCGCTTTTCATATCATTCGTCAATGAAGGGGACCCTGTTCCTCTTTCGCAGGAAGGCTACATGCGGAGCCTCGTTAAGGCGTGGACGCAACCGTTCACCGGAGGGGAATGGGCAGTCCCCCCGCCTTTTTACCTCCCTAGCGGAGACCAAGTGGTCCTGAGAGGCGAGACGGATGAGACTGGCGAACTCAAGAAAGTTATCCCATTGCATGTCGACCCAACAGCACTGGAGGCAGTGGTATTCGGCGATATCGTCATGCACAGCATGAGCACCTACGTCGAACGGATACAGATGATATTGAAGCAACAGCAGTCTCCCCAAAACCCATTTGAAGATCCATAGGATATGAGGATGATTATCGTAAAGTCACAGGAAGTGTTCATGTGATGGTGTTTTGCCTCATGATCAGGTTTTCCTTTTCCGTAGACCCAGCAGTGTGAAACAGGCGTTTCCTTGCAACCCTGACATGTCTCTCATTCTTCAGCTTATACCCAAACGTCCACAACCCCCAGACCAGGAGAGTCATTAGAAGGAGCGGCAGGGAGACTGCGATGTACAAGAACAGTCCTGGCTTCCAGACCTTGACAATGGTGTCGTCGACCTTATCTCTAGATTCGCGCTGGAACATTGGCGTGCTAAAGAGACCTGAGACGAACGTGCCTGGTAGAAAGATCGTGGTCATCAGAGCGAGGAGTTTCATGCTTTGCGCATCGCTCCTAGTGGCCCATGCGATTCGGCGGGACTCTTCAGCAATATGCTGAGCCGACGCAGAATCGTTCGCGGTTATGAGGTGAAATAGCTGCAAGTGAAGTTAGTCTATCATCTCGAACGGAGAAGTTGTTTGGAGGCGTTCGCCATGACTAACCGCTTCCTTTTGAGTCCGAATACGAGAACTGGTATACTCCAAGTCAAGGACCTGCATAGCCGTACGCCGCTCGACGATATCGTTCAACGCCAACAGTTCTTTCTGGCTTTCAGCATCATTTTCATCTTCGAGATGCTTCCGAATGAACCGACCAAACTCCGCTATCACACCTAACTTTCGCGTATTGGAATCAACCCTTGCTCCACACCCGCTCATTCTGGCTGAAAGGCCCACCAGATCGCCCCTCGCAGAATCCTCGACTCGACCCGTCCACTCGTGATAACCCGTCCGTACTTCTACTTCTCGTACCAACTTCTTGACCTCACTAGTCTCAATGTCGACCTCTTTTGAGCTCATCAAGGCGCTCATTAACGCCGGCGTCATTTCGTGATCCGCTAGTCTCTGCACGAACTCTTTTTCCACCATTTCCTGAAGGATGTCGAGTTTGCAACGGTCCACTACACAAGTCACGCTCGTGACGCCAGCCTCCGTGTCGCGTGACCATGTAAATGCCAGTTTTGGATGGTTGCAAAGATAGTACACATTCTTTCCTGTTTCCTGGTCAATTATGGAGCCTATGCCTGCATACTGAGTCTTGCAGTAGGTCTGAGCCAACTGGTGACGGAAGGCACCACATGTCTCTTCGAACAAGACAGGATCAATGTCGACGATGCGTCGCTTGGTGTCAAGAAGGATCCAAACGATTCGAAGGACGCAGTTTCTTTCGATGTTGGGTACTGCGCTTGGCCCAGTTCCATTGGTTCTCTGTAACCAGCCTAGAAGCTCTTGTCTGTTGACATCCCGCTGTACTGAGATTGTACCATCAGGCTCATTGCCTTGGCTTCTCCAGATTTCCGTAACAGCGACATGGCCGACTTTAGAAAAACCAAACTGCTGCCATATAACTTGAGATTTGTTGAGATAATGATGTGCAGAAGCCATATGATAGGTAGAAAAGATGTGGTGGTGTAACGATACGGGTAACTTGACGAGCTTACGTCGACTTATACATTGCACAGCAGTGTCAAATATCCATGATCAAGTTCTGCCTTCGAGAGAGCCTTGCGGGAGGACTGAACAGCACTGTGTGCCTAGGGTCTTGCATGCCTATACAAACAGGCAAGGCTGAAGCTCAATCACTAGGATCAGGATCCTGCCATCTCGTATGTACTAGTTTCCCCGCCCACTCCGCCTCACCCAGGCTGAAGATGACATGTTGCATGCCGAGAGGTGCTCTGCGTGCTTGTGAAGTGTGGGGTCAGGGTATCAATTCTCGATGCCTTGCGGGTACGGACGGCTTGGAACGAGAGTAGAACGCACGAGGAAAAATCTCGATGCTGATACGAGGTGGTTGGAGCCTGAAAATGCCTGATGAGAGAAGGACTCTTTCAGCCTTCAATCTACCATATCCAGGGTTGGTGACGTCCGTAATGTGCCGCTTGATCTTCTAAGTCTTATCAGATCAGAGCCCTAGGCATAGACTGAGATTGAAATCCCCATATTCATGCTAGGCTGAAGACTAATTCTCGATATCTTGTAGTCGTATGTGTTGGGATGGCGGGTTGGACCTCCTAAGAACCTTGGAAATCAACGCGTGATGTGGCGCGCGGACCACCCGTGGACACTTCGGAAGCTTCCCCAAGCTCCCCACATTGCGACGCGACTCCGGAGACCCTACACCCACCATGTAGTCGCCAGCAAATTTTGGCGGTAGAGCCTACAGATTTCAATGCCTACGCGCGCGATAAAAGCAATATTCTATACTCGCTTCCACCATGAGAAAGGTAGTCCAAAGACAGCCGCGCCTTCAGGAAACCCCGCTGACATCTTCTCTAGGGAACCGCGTCCTCCACCAGGTACCCGCAGGCGCCATAATACCGTCCAACCTCCCATCGGCGCTCCCCACACCACTATTTACCTTCCCTTCGGTCACGCAATTCCTCATACCCACGCAACAGTTCTGCGACCGCCTACTCACTTTCTGCATCAACCACAATCGCGTCATCGGATACCCTGTTTGCATAAGAGAAGGGAAATACAGTAGGAATGAGTTCATCTTCAATTTCGCAATCGTGATAGGCGAAAATGAGCGCGACTGGGCGTGCTACGGCGAAGTCGTGAGGAAGCTTGGACGCTTGTTGAGAGGCTTAGAAGAGCAGGGCGGATTCTTGTCCAGAGAAGAGGAGGGCGTTTGGGAAGATGAGGGAGGAAACATTGGGTTTGGGTACGACGATGGCGTCGGCGGATTTGGAATTGGTGGTGGCAGCAAGGTGTATGCGCTGTGTGAGATGGTGCTTGAGGATTTAAATAACTACGCTGAGTGTATGATACCAATCGGTAAGTCATGCTTCGTACCAGACTGTGGTATGCGATATACTAACCAACCACCAGATGACTCGAACACGATCAACCTGAAGCTATTCCCTACGCGACCGCCTCCTCCACCTATCCTCGCGCATCAAGTGCCCTTGCTCACCATATCTCTGTCAAGTCTCCAGCAACCCGTATCCTCGGACCTCACTCTCAATCGCATACTACCATACATAAACGGTATCAACTCGATAGCCCATATAGCGCAACTGGCTGATACCGATCTCTCGTTGACAAGACGAGCCATTCAACATTTGGTATATTATGGATGTTTAATACTACTGGATATCTTCAGCTTCAGCGCCATATATGCGCCAACAGCAGAGATTGGTGATTTCATAATGGATGCAGAGGTTAAAGAGGAATGTATGCGCTACGTCAGCGTACCGAGAATGAGACTTGGTTCAAACGCAAAGACAGCTCGGATGGATAGCGAAGTTTCAGAGAAGAGTAGGGACGAGCGTAGTTCGACCTCGTCTTTGTCATCACAGCAAAGCGAGACTGTCGGATCTACGCTTAGGGTCTCAGAGTTCGATGGCCACATCGCCGCTCAAAAGAAGGAAGAGGAGGAAGAGAATGTATGGCAGACGAGCCATGAGACGTTAATAACGCTATACACATCGCTGCGACAAGGTCTCACTTTGAAGAACTGGGTGCTGGAGAATCTAGACTTGCTCACTGGCATCGACGTACGCCGCTTCATTACCTTCGGCATCATCAAAGGTTTCCTCTACCGTGTGCACAAGTACGCAATAGCGACCTCAACGACCCTACCACCCGCACCACCAACGAGTCTGCAAACAAGTGCCGCGACATCTCTCGCAAACCCCCGCGACTCAGACACCACCACAATTCGCGGTAACGAACGAGTACACCATTCCTCCCAACCAAGTATCCAGACCCACGGTCACCACACTTCCCAAGCCAACATCCACACACATCATCCATCCTTTTCGATTCACAGACCGAGCGTTGCCTCCGCGATGCCCGGGAACCACAATCATCTTCAACAACAGAACCCCCAACATCTCAGTGTTTCGAAGGGTGAAGAACACCAGACCCTCGAGGGCTTGGTGAGCGATAGAGACAAGAGCGGGAGCGGGCTTCCTCTATTGAGATTCCTGGATGGTATGCACTGTTTCGATGAGATATGTACGGAATTGGGACTACCCGAACGTGTTGTTGAAGGGAAGGTACGGGGTATGGGTGAGGGGGCTGGGGTCGTTGTGCATCGATGAGAAGAAATGGCTTCGTCCCGGCTTTCAGATTGAGAAGTGTTGAGGAGAAGTATTTTGTCAAACCTGTGTATACTATGCCATGATCCCAATGCTTATATGATGCTGGCGCCAAACAATGCATACACTAAACAAAACCATAAGCTCAGTGCGGTGTTCGAAAGCCAAAAGTCCTGCTACCCTTCTTCATGCACCTTGTTTGCCCCGTACCTCCAGTTTCCTAGGCTTCTTCTTCTCCTTCTTCTCTGCATCCGCACCACCATTCTCTTGGTTCGCCTTCCGCTGCTGCGCAAACTCATCTGCCGCACGTCTCAGCGCCTCAGGGTCTGGTATACCGTCCTCTTCCCCACCCATCTGGTCTTGCATCTGCCCATCAACATCCTTCCCGTCACCTTCCTCTTCACCTTCCTTCTCCTTATCCTTCCCATCCTTCTTCCCACCCCCAAGCTTCACCCACGGCCCATGTACACCACCCACGCCCGCTCCCACCAACGTCCCCACAGCCGTCGTAGGAATCGTAGCCACAGTCCCCACCAGCGTGCCTACCACCGTCCCCAGTCCCGCACCCACAGCCATACCAATACCGCCACCCCCTACACTACCCTGGAACGCGCCTGAGCTGAGCACGCGCGCCTTTTTCGAGTTTCCATGCGCTTCAATCTCCTTGTTGTATGCATCTTGCAGGTATTTGTTCCGTTTCTCAGGGTCTTTGATGGTTTCGGCGGCGGCACGTAGCGACGAGGCGGTTTTGGCGGAGGCGAGGGCGGACTCGGCGCTCGCGGCGGCTTCTTTGAGTTTATCTTCTGGACTGTCGGACTTTGCGGCTATGCTCTTCAGCTCGTCTACGTCGGGAACTGAGGAGGGTGCTTGTT